CTATAGTCTAATTTATTTTATTTGCTAATACCTATAATTTGTTTATAGCAGACCTACCCGTAGCAGCAGACCTGTATACTCAACGAATTACAAATGCTTCAATAAATAATTAAAATGGAGCCACATATAATCATTTCTCAAAGTATGTTCATGAACAAGCATGCAAAAAATTTTCCATAAGAATAACATTGGAAGTTAGTATGCAGGTTTGCTGCCACGGAAATGTAAAAATGGGGGATTTTAGGCCATAATCAAGTAGATCTCTACTAAATGAAGCCACATACCAATTATTATTAAGATATGCTGAGTAATAAGCTAGATATACAATTTTATTTTTTCCCCATAAGGATAACATGGCGACAATGTTCTGTGTTTTCCGCCTTCAATATCTCGGTAACCAATGGTCATAGAGCAATGATTCAAAACACCAAATTGTTTGATTTTTTGAGCTGAATTCAATGGTGTAAATTAAAATTCGATTATTTTACTCTGAAAAGAGTTATTATTAATTTAGTGAATAGATGTCACACATGGCGGCCATCTTGGATTTACGACGTCATAAAAACCAAACCCCGCAATTTGAGGGTAAACACCCGGTACTACACCATTATGTGACATATAATAAAGAGATTCCACATAGTCACACATTTGCTTCACAAAAATCCCACGGAATACAGTTTGCCCCCGGACTATTAGGTTACACCTGATATTGATGATCCAACACCCTTCCAGCACCTGTCAGATTACAATATTGTTTGAATAAAAGTAAATTTGATGAGTTGGTGGTTCATAGTACTGTAGCATGACAGACTGAGAATCCACGGCAGCGGTTTTGTGAGTTTCGTCCTGGTTTCTTGCACTAAATTGTATCATTACAGTTCACTCTTGTACTGTACCAACTCACCCCATGCTTTGCTGTTTAAGTTCCATGCACGGGTCGATGTGGACAGGCTAATTACAAGGTTAAAATAAGCTACAATCATTCAATTAATTAAAAATAAACAAGTTTTCCTACAGTTGCCTAACAAAGTACATGTTCTCTCACTGATTTGAGAAAGCAAAGATGCCAATTCGCTCACCAGTGAGACAATGTTAACATTGTCTCACTCTAATTACTTTGTCTCACTCCAGATTTGCAACGTGAAGGCACAAAATAGTGAGCGCGTAACATGCAGACAAGGTCGTATGCGCGCGAAATACGTTGGCAGCACTGGCTGTAAATCAGCTGGTCAGCTGTTGTACTGTTGTATCATTAAATGTCATATTAAAAGTTCACTCCTGTGTAAAAATATGTTACGTTTCTTTACCAATTTATTTGTTTTATGGTAACTGTAGGAAAAATATAATGTGCAACTGCAACTCGAGTGCAAAGTGCAATTGCCTCACTCGAGAAACCATTCCTCACTCGCCTACGGCTCGTGAGTAAGTATTTCTCTCGAGTGAGTCAATTGCTCACTTTGCTCACTAGTTGCGCAAATAACTATTTCCTATCCTTTTCTGTGTTATGTATGAACTATGGCTGTATTCCTAAAGGATCACTAAGCACAAAATTGTTTTTTCTGTGATCACAGCTTACCGTGATGCAAATCATACTGTGTATAAAGTCTCGTATACAAATCACACAAGCATTTTCTTTTTAACATTTTCATTATGAGTTCTAAACTAAAGTGTATTTGAGTGAAAATTTAAAAACGTACGTTTTCAGGAAAAGCACTTTGTAAATTTTTTTCCCCTTTTTTCAAAACTCTTATTATTTTTTTTATTTCATTAACATTTGAAGTTTCATAAAATGTCCATGGTAACGCAATATCTTTGGTAGTTTTTTTTTTAAAGAGCATTTTTAGTGGAAAAACACAAAATCCTGTCACGACCATAACAGACGTTTAAATGAATATTAAAAATAGTTAATACTATTTTTATAACTATGTTTTGCTACAAACTAATTTACTTTTATGACCATTATAAAGGGTGGCGCAGATGGATCGAGTGGTTTTAAAATACTTGTCAAACTGTCAATTTCAAAGGTATTGGATTGAAATAAAGTGAAAAACGTGTAGTTACAATGGAAGTTTATTGACAAAAAATTTGTTAAGTTAGTTTTTAAAAATTACATCCATCAAATGCCTTTCTTCTCGAGCGACGCATTCTTGGAGTCGGTCCTTGAGGTTCCGCATTGACCGCTCAAGCACAATACCAGGAATTGATGTGATTTCGTTGTGAATTGCAGTCTTCAACTCCTGAAGCAAGGGTCTACATGAACAAACCCCGGACCATTCAGGAGTTGAAGGCTGCAATTCACAACGAAATCACATCAATTCATGGTGATGTGCTTGAGCGAGCAATGCGGAACCTCAAGGACCGACTCCAAGAATGCGTCGCTCGAGAAGAAAGGCATTTGATGGATGTAATTTTTAAAAACTAACTTAACAAATTTTTTGTCAATAAACTTCCATTGTAACTACACGATTTGCACTTTATTTCAATCCAATACCTTTAAAACTGACAGTTTGGCAAGTATTTTAAAACCACCCAATCCATCTGCGCCACCCTTTACAATAAAAAGGTCACTGAGCTTTTGGTATATTTGGTCTTTCTAGAAAAAAATAAAAAAACTCAAAAAATTGAAAAAAAGCCAATAAAATCTTTTTAAGTTTGTATAACTACGAAAAAACTTACCTGAGACCCGAAAAATCGTTATGTTTGTATAGAGGTTTGCTTCTTTTGTGTATAAAACATTGAAATATGACGATATTTTAATTTTTGAAATTTTTATGATAGAAATCATAAACGTGATGGTCAGAGACAACCGGTACGGTCGTGAATTTTCTGAAATAATCTAAATCTTTCTAAACAATCCTTCAATTATACTGTTAGTTATAATAAAAATATGTGTTTCAATTGAACTAAACTGTTCAATTTACAATTATATTAAAGTTATTGTCACGACCAAACACACTATAATCCATAAGGCTGGATTGGTCGTGAAAAAAACCGCGATGGTCGTGAATCTTTGGTCGTGAAATTACGTGTTATTTGGCTCTGTTCTGATAGTAGCCCTGCACCTCATGTTCGAGGATACAAAGTGGACTTCTAGGTTAATCTAGCAATTGAAATATCTTATAAACAAAAATTAACACCATGTCTACTTCATCGAATGACTACGTACGGTCATGGACACACCAAAATTACAAAAAACACAATCTTTCCTTTATTAATCTTGTAATTCCTCCGTTCAACTCGAAACGACCGGCACTACAATCCTGACGTACACCCTGAACTAGTCTCTAAAACCAACTGACTCCATCGACGCCAGGCTTGCCACTGTCGTGCTCCAAAGTTGAAAATTTTTCCCAAATGGTCGTGACGCCAAATCGAGGGACAGACTTATTTAGTCATGGTAGTCAGTTTGCAATGACAATAAAATTATAATATGCTCCTTTTTTGTAAGTTTAATAACCATTGATGACATAAAAATATGGCTTTATATATTTTGGCATGAATAATTAGTCTAAAAATTGTGTGAAAGTTGGAAAATGTACCCTAGGGACACGTCATGGTCGTGAATTTCGAGACTTTGAAAATACGAAAAAAATACCTAGAACCTATTTAAAACCAAATAAATGTGTGTAACATGTTGCCCCCGTCCCAAAAAATATTAAAACACATAATAATAAACTACAAATCCAGTATCTACGAAGTAAAAGGCCAGGGACATGAAAACGTACGTTTTTAAATTTTCACTCATTTATGTCTGCAGAAAATGTTAATGCCGAGTGTCCGATACAGTATCTGCTTCATGGTGATGAACAAAATAAATTGTGTAGATTTATCTAAAGCCTTGTTAAAATGTGGCATCAGGCCATGTCTGATATTTTCTTTGCCAGTTCAGCGATTTAACTTAATGAGTTTCCTTTATTTCAGGGTATATGTATCACAACCAACTGACATTCTAATGGTTATTGGGGTCTATAATGATGTTGTTAAGGTTCAGAAGAAGCTTTTTATATCAAGTTTCTTAGACTATAACAAACATTTCTTGTCACAATTAAAGTCTTTTAGTTTTTTCAGTTGTAGGTTATTTTTATACTGCCAAAAAGTAATTATGCTTCAGGTAGGATACGGTTTTAGTAAAGCACTGTACGTACTTCTGCTCTTTATACAATCCAATGTATGCATGACATACAGTAGTGCATATTTTATCTGATACACTAGAAAATACGTAAATATTACCTCTTCAGTTAAAATTTTTGTTTGATTTCCAGATAAAAAAAATTATATAAAAATTAGATGTGGGTTAGTTACGAAAAGAAGTCATTTCATTTTCTCTTCTGACAGTTAAGAAGAAATTGACGATACAAGCAAGCAATTTAGGTACTATTTTCATTCAGGTCAAATTGGGTTCCAACATCATCCAACATCCAAAATCGGTACAGTTACATGTAATATTTTTCCATGTATACACCAGAAGAAGACCTGAAGAAAATCACATTTTTGTAATTTCTAGACAGACATAATTTAGATGTAGACCTATGTTTAGGTGGAAGAAGCCAGTGGTTAATAATTCATTATCCAGTACCACATAGCTTACAGTTTAACTTTGAAAGAGACCAAGCAGAATTTATCAAGAAAATGATTTGTTATGGTTAAATTGAGTTTAATTCAAGTCATAGATAGTTTTTTTTTTTCGACAATATAGTTTTATACACAGTACAAAAATATGAAATGAAACCATTTCTGGGATTTATGGAGAAATAGAATATGTGCAGAGCAAAACCAAACTCAAGTGAAGAAGTAATCTATATAATGTCACTCTTAAAATTCTAACTCACTCATGATATTTTTCGCTGCAATCGACAATGCGAAGCGAGAAATCAACTATGATTTGTGGATACAGTCAAATTAGGATACACACTGTTGTAAATTTTTGTCAAATTACAAAAGTGTCAAAAATATGCCTAATTAAAACTACCACTTCAGTGACACATTTGTTGGATTTCCAGACAATCAGAATTAGATGCAGACCTAAACTTAGGGGGAGAAGTGACGTCACTTTTGGACAATTCCGCAGCGAGACACAAGCTCGCCGTTCGACCACGAAAGAGATACACAGGTTCACGACACCGAGACATTTCACCATCGGTTCCAGAACAACAGAGGTACATACCACATTCCGCCTCACGCCTAACAGTACGCTTCGCAAATGATTTTGTAGTGGAAAATAACACTTTGACAGTTTGTTACTTGCTTCTGCTTTCTTTTTTGTAGGAAAAATATTGTTTTGCTGTGTTTAGATTTTTTTTTCTAGGACGAGCCCGGAATTGTTTTCACATTACTTCAGGCTAGACCTAGGGGTTACGGCATTATCACAGATAAAATCCATCGGTGATTTGTCGGGATTTGAACCCGAGACCCCGAGTCCCGCTCTTTAACCACTAGACCAGCTCGCTCCCCCACTAACTTATGCTTAATCTATGATTATAAACTTTGATTGTTTCATTTGATATATCGTTTGGTTAGTTAGATTATGTTAACCTTATCTAACTAACCAAACGATACATCGAATTATCGATTTTTCCATTCGGTTGTTAGTGCCAATAGATACGGAAGTCTGCTCGCATTAAAAACTATTTGAAATTGTTGGTGTCATTATAAGATACTTGAAGGTCTCTCAATGTAAGCTTCACTGTGCCATGGTCGACAAAATAGTGGCCATTTTCACATTTCCTCAAAGTACTCTGCCAGTGAATAGTTTGTTTCTATATTTCTTAATTTTTTTCCTCAGATACTAAGATAGGTATACATTATTGCATTGTCTAGAGCGTAACGCTGTATTTCTCAAGAATAGTTCTGGAATTTCCTTTATTTAATATATATATATATAGGTATTATTGTGATTAGGGCTACTATATAAACAGTAGAAAACATTTATAAAAACATTGGTACCTACCCTTTTAACTCATTTTAATTATCAACGACTAGTTTCTACACTAAGGTCATGGTCATGTTGACATTTAAAAAAATACAATAACAAATAATGAAAGGAATGCATTCAATCATATGTTTAGCTAACTTAGAATTTATAAGATCTTGATTTCTTCTTGTTTAATTTTGTGTATATTATATTAATATTATTTCAGTTTTATTGTAACTGAAGGATTTTTTCAAATGTCGGATTTGTTTTGTTGATGTTTATGGTATTCAGTACATTTTGAGGAAATCTTTTGTGATTTATGTATATATTAAAATCTTCTTCGACATTTAATTTATTTTTACTTTTTCATATTCCAGAATTTCTAAATTGTTATTTATATTTTTTTATTCATGTCGCGTTTTGATTCGGTGCTCTGCAAAATTTGATTTCATTGTCGCTTTGTTACCTGATTTTAATGCTTGTATGTGTTCCTGGAACCTTTTCTTGAAGTTGTTTGACCAATGTAGGATTTATTACAGTCTGAACATTTTATTTGATAAATGCCTGATTCGTTCATATCTTTAATTTAGTTAGTACAGGTTTCATTAGAAATTTTGTTTTTTATCATCTGAAAGGCATTATTTTTTGTTTTGTAACTTTTTTCAAATTTGAATTTTGGAAGGTTTTTCGTGTTGCTTTGTTTAGGGTTGTACTATGGGGGATGCAAATATATTCTTTTCTATTGTTTTCTTCAAACGATTCTTGTGTTTCAAACGTCTTCTTAATTTTCTTTCGGCGCATTTTTTTAACTATGGAAGATTTGTACCCATTTTCGAGGCTAAATAGGATGATGTTTTTCTCTTTTTCAAAATCTTTGTTTGACATTGGTATATTTACTAATCGATGTGTCATTGAATGAAAAGTTAACAATTTGTGCTGCCACCGGTGATTTGAATTGGGTTATGATTATGATTATGTCTGTTGTAGTTGGTTTTTTGTATATTCTAAACATGCGCATGTGTGTTTCCTTCGAAATTGTTATGTCTACAAAGTTGATTTGTGAATATTGTATTTCTTTAGAGAATTAAATTTGTGATGGAAGAGAATTTATGTGTTTACGTAGGTCTTCTGCTTCAATTTGAGTGTCTTCAAATAGGCGGGGAATGTCATCGTCATATCAGTAACAATATAATAATTTTGATTTGTAAGGATTTGTTTCGTTTAAAATTTTGGTTGTTTCTGGAATGTTCAAGTAAATATCTGCTAAAAGCCCAGAGAGACATGAGATGAACAAGGATAAGAGGTTCTGAAATCAGGATTTTCCCGACAGAATCGAAAAGAGTGGCAACCCTGGTATAACAAGTATTCTAAAGCAAGCGTCATTTAAGGTCCGTTCATGCTGGGACTGATTAAAAAAAATCTAGTCTAGCAACAAATGCTACGTTGTGATTTGGATGCTAATAGCATCATAGTACAATATGGTTAACTCTTTATGTCAGAAAATAAATCAAAATCCGGTTTAACAAATTTTTAAACCAATCCAACAATTGCAATTCCTGACAGCTTCCTCGTTGTGAAGGCTTGATGAACGGTTGAGTAGAATTATATTGTAAACCGACCATTAGCACATCATGGTTGTGGGAAGTAGTCTGTTTGTCTGAGATCAAAGCCTGAGAGCCTCTACTTGTGATGAAGTGCCACATTAGATGGAAGCTGGTGCTTTAGGACTGCTGGGCAAAAGGCCAAAGATACTTAACTGCGGCTTTGCAAACCCTTTGTTTCAGCCAATTTTTGATACAAGAGGTTTTAAAGACTCGTATAAACGGATTAATTGTGTAGCTTTGTTTTGGATGTCCCTATATGTGAGTTCAACCATTGACTCTTGGATATGGAAGTAAACATCCCATCCGTATTAACAAGCTGTTTTCATTTTGTTTTAAGACAGCTGGATGATTTAATCACAGGTGTGCGTTAGTCTACAATTATTATATTTTCTCCGAAATGTTTTCGTTACTGTGATAGCTGACATGAAATCACCTATCAATAAATTGTCCTTTCAGTTTGGCTAGGTAAAAAGTTGGTGAATTTGACAGAAATCATTAAATTACAGAAACCAAGAGCATTCTATGTTGATTTTCGTCTAAAATTGTCTTAGATTTTAACACAGGAATGGAGATGTCTAATTCTATCTATATTCAAAGGTTTGACTGATAGTGTTCATCAGATAAAAAAAAATCAATCTGAAGTTACTTTTACACTTTGTAGACACAACCCAGTGCAACTCCAAATAAAACCAAGTACTAAAAGACTGTTGGTTGGATTGCCACCATTAAAAATTCCATTCACCAATCACTTTCATAAATTCATCTTTTCAATTAGACCTATGTTATTTTTATATCCTCATAATCATCATAATTGTTTTGACTTTTGAGATGGGGACACCACCTAGGTGCGTATTTTAACCCAAATATGAGTGGAGGATGAGTGTAGAAAGGAGTGCCATACCTTGTGTAGCTACAATGTTACTGACTAAGATTAGATGTTTCCTTAGTCAGAACCATTTATTAAAAGCCCAATGATCAAGGTCAGCTGGGTCCAGTTTCGACCCATCTAAAAGCTACACACTTTTCTCAGGATCGAACCGGTGACCTTATTATTTCCAGGCGAGCACTATAACTACTGAGCTACCCAGCTATACTGGAAATAAAACCAAACACAAACAATTATGCAGGGTAGAGCGTAATAAATTGCTTTCATTGCATTCACAATGAAGAGGGGTGTGGTTGGTTGAAGAGAAGACAGTGTCTATGACTTGACTATGACGTTCATTATTATATTTCTCGTACTCTATTATTGATGTGAAGCGTTGCTATTTGTGATTCCCAATCCCATCTGGACATATTCCTGAATGGCAATAGTTTTAAGCCGCAGCACAGAAAACGTACTAGTACGTTTTCTGTGGCCGCAGCCATTCTCATTTTCTCTTCAACCAACAGCTCCCATACAGGGATAATGTAAAAAATAATTACTGCTCTCCACCATATACACTATAACTTCTTATTCATAACAACTGAAACAGTGATTTTGTTGTAAACTATAGTATCTTTTATGTGTCATGACCCCTCAAAGTATAAAGAAATAAAAGAGAAAATATAACTCACTCGATATGAAAGGGTGATCTTAAGTTAATAAAGCTTGTTACAGTAAGTCATTAAGAGATAATACTTCAGTGTGGTATTTAAAGTCTATGGTATTACTGCAACTTTTTTATTTGCAAACATTTAGGGCCTATTTCTGCAAAATTTAGTACAAAATGTATTTGTTACGAAATATTTTTTAACCAATTAACTATACCAAAATTTGTGTTATTTGATAGATCCTATTGTAGCTTAGGTATATATTTTTAATGATTAGTTAGACAGGAAACAGCATTTTCATTGTTGGGTGAAGTTAATGCTTGCTCGTAAAAGCAACTCAGAAGTAGCCGCCAAACTGTTTCACACTCGCTTTGGAAAATGCAATTTACTGCATACTAAACAGACACTAAAATTTGTTTTACTACCTTACAATTTGCTGCCAAAATATGACCATGCTGTGAAGTGTAAATCCAAAACATAGTTCTTAATGTTACATATTTGACACAGAAAAAGCACATGGAAAACATTCTTAATCAGAAGAAAATAAAATGTATAGAAATATGCTTCCTAAACATAACATCTTCATAAATTTTCACAGAGTAGAACCACAGAACAGTGAATTAGTCAGTATCTATACCTCTTCCGTGTTGGAACTCTAACTTAATTGTTATTGTTTAAAATTCAATTAAAATCTATGATTTTATCAGTAATTTTTAGAAAGGTTTGGTACCCGTATCCATATTTATAAAAATAAAAACATATTTTATTTCATTTGTAAGTACATCACAATAGTAGTTTACTCAACGATTATGTAAAGTCTTTAAAACACAATTAAGTAGCAAAATTTAAGGTACGAGCCTTATGGCGAGTGCCTTTAAAACTTCTACGAGTGTCTTAGGCTAATTAATTACGCGAGTTGCGCAGGCCCTATACTCACTACTTTAACTACCGTACGACCGTTTTTAAATACTATCAATCACTACTCATAACGTCTAAGAGAGGTTATATTTTGTTTATAACCTCGCATTGCAACTGATTGTGATGCTACAACTCATTGTCCCAGCCACTCACTCATTTACTCTATTATTAATTGGTTTGAAAAACGGTC